AATAGCCAGAGTCCTACGTAACATTTTTCACGGAATCCGCGGTCCTATCAATTTATCAGTCGCAAATATAAATGCCAATACATTTCGCGAAACGAGAAAGATTAACATCGCCGATCTTATCGTATAACGTCGATCAAGAAATTCTTTCGAGATAACATCAGAAAGAATAAAGTACCATTAAAACAAACATTAATGTTAAAATAATCTGCCGATTTATCATAATAAGAGCCATGATGTCAATGCCGAAATATCCAATATGATACATAAGCAGATAAAAATTTTTAACATAGAATTTCGCCCTCGTTTATTTTTTTCTCTTCGAAAGAGGAGAATTACTGCTAATTCTCTTCTGTATGCGGTATAAAATAATCGCGGTCCTAGATTTACATTATTAAAAAGCGCGGATGCCGCAAGACGAATTGATTTGATCGGTGGATCGGATTATCATGGAAAGCTCGGCTATCGATTAAAGTTCTCGGCGGTCCTTTTATGCCCGTCTCCTCCCTCTCCCCCATCCGGACAATATCGAAATCGCTGACCGACGATGGTCAGCGGAATCCGTCGCCGCTCCAGTAAATGCATAATTGCGCATTAATCAGAGCGCGGGGAAGGAGAACGAGCGATGCATATTTATGCGCCCGCGGCACCGAGAAATTAAATTCACACATTTCATCGGCCCTATAAAGCATGCGCATATTTCGCACGGCGGAACGCTGAGAATGCAAGTCGCGGGAGGAAAGGGACAGCGGGACTCCGGAAGAGATTCGTACTTCCCGTGATCTCTTCCATTGTCCGTGCATACAAATTGAATTGCCTTCATTAAGACGTCCGCGAGCGTGGGCGTTGCGCGACGGATTCATTAACGATTCAACGCGGCGACGACGCGAAATTTTTGTTATGTACAGCCCATATATCTTCTCGCACGGCGCCAGGACAGCTGTATTCTGGATTGCGGCAGGCGAGACGCGCAAATATCTTAAGCTTATACTTATTCATAAGTCAGATTATACGAGATACGATATATATTGCATAATTTGACCAGCTCCGACCGGGTAATATTTCAAATAACGTAATACGTCAAATGTGAAAAAAGTTGCATCAATTTTTTATTCGTCCCATTAATAACTATCAACTTTTTGCATAAAAACAAAACACGTTTATCAATTTCGCCGAATTATCAATAGAGAATTGGAATTCAATTGATTTCATAAATTTTTGTCTAAAACAATTTTTTGCTAATTTGTATAATTAGATAAAATTATATAATCAGTAATACGTTATAAAATTATAATTTTATATTATAATTTATAATGATTCAGTTTATACATTAAACATATATAATGTATGATGTGATATACGACTTTGCTGAGATCTTTATGCGCTTCTAATTGATTGAGCATTCGCCACTGTCACTTTACTTCGATCCATTTGACATTCGTATCCACACGTCTTAGTAGACCATCGTGTGTGCAAGATTAAAGATTAGGAAATAGTTTAATGAACCGTAAGTAGGTAATTGCGTGTGTCTCGCATAGCGTGTTCGCGGATAAATAGATTGACGGCAATGAAGATCTATTAATGCGAATAACTTTATTCTAGAAAATAAGTTGGAAAAGGATGCGTCTTAAAATAGAACGGATAAATCGGGCCGATGGAAAAACGGTCAAGACTAAAATAAATAAAAAAAATACAGGTCAATCCTTCTCAACCGTCTAGATCTTAATAAAACTCATCATATGTAATTCATTTTAAAATCGATGAATAATCAATACATACAGCAATTTTTTTGATAAAATTATCCTTTTCAATAATTGGTTCCTATAATAATATTAATATAATAAATTAACTCCTATAATAGTGTTAATATAATAAATTAACAAATTAAATTATCTAACTTTAAAAAAAAAAATAACAAAATAATATAATATATTGTCAAAAAAATGTAGACATAGATATGATAAATTATATTCATGTAATTCCTGCAACCAGCTCTTTAACAATAATTTGCAGTTTACAATAAATAACGAGAAACTGACGAGGAAATAATAGCTGTTGCTATCCTGTTTGCGTTTTATTAGAAACATAAACAAATAGTACATTGTTAATTATGCATTCTCCCGGTCTATGGCGTCCCATGCATAATCGCGCTTGTGTACACAGTTTACTCTCAAATCTTGTATGCGCACGCAATTTGGTGCAACAGCATTGTCGCCGCTCGACGACGGTACTTTGCTTACGTGTGTTTGCGATTTACATGACGAATAAACTTTGATTTACCGGTACTATCTCGCCGAACGAAATTTCTGCCTGTGCATCCACAATGAGGAAAAAAGGGAGTGACGTTATATCCGCCGCACTGTATTGCATCGTAACGTTGAATAATCCATCGATTAGACCCGCTTTTTCACGACGACTACTTGATAAAATCAACGTCGTTGTGTATTTTATCTCGCCACCATTTTACAATCTAAAATTTTTCTCGACGCTGCTTTATCGTCCCGAGAAAACTTTTATCCACAAGCTTGAAAAATTTAGCACCTCTAATCGTGTTATAATGAAATATTTCCGTCTTTAAATTTTCACTATGTAAATGGCAACAAATAGCTCCGAACGATACAATACGATAAAATATTTCGTTTGAAAAATATTTTGTGAATTACTATTGCAAACAATAACTTTTTAGACGTTATTTACAAATAAACTTTTATATTTTTAAATAAATCGAATAGCGAATTACGTTGTACATTTTTCGCTGATGATTTTTCATATATTTCGCATCGAATGGAACGATATTTCTCGAATATCAAAGTAACAATTAACAAAATAGTTCAACAATATTGAAAATAGTGATTATATTATTTTAAATATGTGTATCATCATTGAATTCTCTAATTATTTAAATCATAATTTTTATTTTCGCATCATTAAATAATTTTAAGTATACACGAGTATTTCATTTTTCAGATTTATATTTACTGACTTATAATCACGTTGTGTTCGTCGCAAATATCTCTCTGCGATTCTCTCTTTTATTCTGGTATTTTCGAACAGCATTGTCGATTAAATATACAAAATCTCGCCGAGCGGTTGCAGTCTTCCGTGAAATTGCAGTACGAAGTGCAGTACCGTTGCAGGTTAAAGAGACGGAGCTGGAGGTAGAGTCTCTTTAGTATTACCAGCCTCGTTCGGAGCAGAACCTCCTTCGTTTCAGCGGTAGGATTCGCCGATACCTTCGTGCGAGCGAGCGAAAGAGAGAGGGAACGAGTTTCCCGTGTCTCACACGTAAGTCGGTAGAAACTGGCTCTTCCTTTGAGGTTCTCTCGGTCTCGCTAAACGAAAAATTTACCGCGAGCCTCTCTCGTCTCGTCGAAATTTATTTCAACTCGCCTCCCGCGAAGCTCTCATCCATCTTTCCAGCCCGTAAAGCAGAACTCGAGATACGTCCAAGGGTCGTACCGACGAACGTAAACTCGCGCGAGCACGCAAGACCACGCGTAACGAATTTACCGCCACCGACAAACGGAAGACGTTCATATAACGGTAGTGATGGTCCTCGAACCAATACTGGCAGTAGCGTAGCACAAGGAGTCAAAAAATATACACAGCTCGAGGAAGAGACAAGAAATTGAAAAATTTAAATTCCTCAAAAATTCACTAACATATAAAAAAAAGTCACGTGTATATCAAGTCACGTTGCCAAACGTTTATTCGTTGACATATTCTATTAGATAAAATGTATAACGCATATTGTGAGACCAGAATTAAATAAAAAAACTAACAATTTAAATAAACTCATATATATAAATTAATGGAATATAATGGAATATAACATAAAATTTATTCTTATAAAAATGTTATAGAAACTATAAAAGTAGGAAATTATGAAAATAGTGTTTGATCGAAGCAAGATGTTATCCCGTAAAATTGTGCTCAAGAAAGAGCGAGGAATCACGCGTGTAAAATTTTATAGATTCAAATAATGGTTTGATATCTTCTAAAACAACGTTAAAATGATGGTGTGAATTATCCAAGAGACGAGAAACACGATTTGGTCGGTATATTACTTCGTGCAAAGTAGCACGCGCGTAAAATTGCATAAGTCCGCGTAACGGTACGATGGCTTTATTGTCGCGTCGACGTCATCTCTAAAAGAATCTATTTCTCGCACTTGAGACTATTATATCATAAAGATCTGATACTCGTACGAAGTACAAGTACTATTACTATATAATATAACGGTGCCGGCTCTCACGACGAATATTCACGTTGCACGAACGATCAGATGTTCGATGAGTAATTACGTTACAGACGCGATTACCGTCGGCGTTCCTTTAACGACAGCTCATCAGACATTTCTTTGGAGGACGATATCCTCCGGGAGTTCAAAGTCTCAACGACTTTGTCTCGCTTATAAAGTATCTCGCCAATCACGTTATTGCTGCTGTTGACAAGTTTCTTGGAAATATTCCAGACTTCGTTTCTTTAATGTAAATTTGATGAGACACGTTTTGGTGGAATATCCTACACATAATATATAAATACGCTATAAATTATTTCATATTTTGCATATAATATTTAATTGATTGCTTGAATGTGAGAGAAAATAACTGTCAAATAAATAATTTATTAAAATAAGGCTTCTATGTATATGTAATACACGCGAGTCTAATAAATTTGTAATAAAATTTTAAATTCTTATTTTACCTTCCAATTCCTTCATTTTATTCTATATTGCTCTTAAATCATGCCTAGTTAATCGGAATGAAAATTATTTACGACGTCTAACGACATCATAATCTTTCTCTTGCCGACTGCCATTATTTCGATCACTTCGCTCAACATCGCACTTTAGCTT